AATCTGAAAGAGGACTGGGAGGGAAATGTCTCTGAAGGGAGAATGTCCTTGAACGAGGAAATAGGGAAACAGAACAAAGCGTGAGGCCGTGATGTGCTCCTAGGGGGAAAAGAAGAGGATGCTGGAGCAGAGGGTGAGGAGGGCAGAGGCCAGCCGACAAGGGAGGGAACGTAGGCATTTTGTAGGCACCATAAAGACTTTGGCTCCGTGACTGGACATGGTAGAATACACCTTTAGTCCCCATACTGGGAAGGTAGGGGCAGGAGGATCTCCGTAAGTTTGAGGCCAGCCTGGTATACTCAGTGGGACCTTGCCTAAAACAGAAAACAAGTCTTTGGCTTCAAAGAAGATAGGAAACCCACAGGGAAATCTAAGCTAGAGAAATATCTAACCAAGTAAAAGGCAGATGCTTTTTCTGTCCACCCACACATCCACCCACCCATCCACCTACCGACTCATCCATCCATCCACCCACCCACCCACCACCCACCCATCTACTCATCCACTCACCCATTCATCCACCTGCCCACCCATCACCCACCCACCCACCCATCCATCATCCACCTGCCCATCCATCACCCACCCACCCATCCATCCATCCACCCATCCATCACCCACCACCCACATATCTATTCATCCACTCACCCATTCATCCACCTGCCCATCCATCACCCACCCACCCATCCATCCATCCATCCACCCACCCATCACCCACCCACCCACCCATCCATCACCCACCCACCCATCCATCACTCACCTACCCATCCACCCACTCACCCACCTATCCTCCATCCACCCACCCACACGTCCACCCACACGTCCATCCATTCACCCATCCATTCATTCATGCCACTTAGAAGCCACCTGCCTAGGTAAGCTGTACCTCCCCAGAGTGGCCCTGGTCAGTTGGGTGGGTTTTCTGGGCTGCCTATGGAGCCAGAGCAGAGTGGAAGGATTCTTAGCTTTGACCTTACCCACACCTCCCTGCGGCCCTGGAGAATGGCCCCAGGTAGCTGCAGGGCTCTGTACTCGGAGGCTTGGGAACCTGCAGGTTATAAATAGCCTCCCCTGTAGCAGGGAAGGGAACTGAGATGCTGTGTGAGTCAGTGCCGCAGAGCCAGATTCCCCCCCCCTCCCCGCAGCTGCAGCAACGTTCCTACTGTCAGATACCCCGCCTGGGACATCCCCTCTTACCACTTAACCAAGACAGAGCCTCTGTTTCTAGCCATGACCCCCCAACACACACGCACACTTCTTCCTTCTCCCAGGTCCTTTCTGGAGCATCAGACGACTGTCTCCTTAGATCTGGGACACAGGGTTGTATAATATTTCAGCTCGGTATCTATAGGTGGTCCTGCCTGGATTTCAGGCCCAAATTTTGACTTCTTTTTGGTTTGTGTTTGTGTTTTGTTTTGTTTTATTTGAGACAGGGTTTCCCCCTGGCTACCCTGGAACGCAATTTGTAGACCAGGCTGGCATTGACCTCACAGAGATCTGCCTGCCTCTGCCTCTGAGTGCTGGGATTAAAGGTGTGTGCCACCACTGCCCAGACTTTTTTTTTTTAATTAGGGTGTGTGTGCGAGGTGGGTGTGCATTCTCATGTCACAAAACACGTGTAGAGGTCAGAGGATAGTTTTTGGGAGTCTCTGCCCACCATATAGGTTCATGGATGGAACACAGATCCCAAGGCTCGGTGGTGAGTGCCTTAAATCACTGAGCCATCCTAGAAGCTCAACTTGGGCAGTTCTGCAAGCCTGTGACCTTCTCGTCACTCATAGGGGACTCATTCGGAAAAATGGAGATGATGATGACCTCACCCACTCTGAGGAAGTGTAGGATGTCAGAATCCAACGTGCAGTCCGACTGTGGCAGGCAGTAGCTGCCCAACTAATGGAATAACAGCCTCTGTGCTCAGTTGTATTATAATCCAGAAGCAAATGACAAGAAGACAACAGCCAGGTGGTGGTGGTGCTTGCCTTTAATCCCAGCACTCGGGAGGCAGAGGCAGGCAGATAGCTGTGAGTTTGAGGTCAGCCTGCTCTACAGAGTGAGTTCCAGGGCATGCTCCAAAGATACAGAGAAATCCTGTCTCAAAAAACTAAAATAAATAAATAAATAAAACGATCCAGGGCCTCACTCATGCTAGGTCACACCTGCCTTGACCCTAAAGCACAAAATCCTGATCTCAAATATTTCCAGTCTTCTAGACTGAGTCTCACGGTCCACCATATACAGGAACATGAAAACCGAGTCTGGGAGAGAACTATGTGATTTGTCCGAGGCCACACTGTACCCCAGATGGTGGAATCTGTAGTCAACAGAGAGACAGTCATATTGCCAGAGGCCCAAAGACACAAGCAGAAGCTGTGTGCGGAAGCGGAAGACTGCAGCACAAAAGGAGTGGGTGTCTTCTGCTTCCCCTGGTCGCAGCATCTAGCCTGCGAGGTGAGAGGCTCCCCACTACTCCACTGTGCCCCCAAGGATAGGGTTCTGTTGTTTTAAAGACAGGATCTCCTGGAGCCCAGGCTGACCTTGAACTCATGATACAGATGAGAAACCTGGACCTCTGATCCTCTTGCCTCCAACTTTCAGAGAACTGGATAAGGAGTGTGAGCAATCTTGTCTGGTTTATGTGCTGATGGGGAGAGAAGCCAGGGCCTCACTCACGCTAGGCAAGCACTCTACCAAGGGAGCTACAGCCCCAGCCTTCCCATAAAGATGGCTAATTCAGGCACATTGGCTCAAGCCTCTATTTCCAGTGCTTAAAAGGCAGAAGCTGGAAGATAGAAGAGTTTGAGACACACGATGAAACATCTCAAAAGAAAAGTTTATCAGGGGGCTGGAGAGATGGCTCAGCGGTTAAGAGCATTGCCTGCTCTTCAAAGGTCTTGAGTTCAATTCCCAGCAACCACATGGTGGCTCACAACCATCTGTAATGAGGTCTGGTGCCCTCTTCTGGCCTGCAGGCATACACACAGATAGAATATTGTATATATAATAAATAAACAAATAAGAAAAGTTTATCATTTCTTTAATTTATTTTTATTTAGGGGTGTGTGTGTGTGTGTGTGTGTGTGTGTGTGTGTGTGTGTGAATGTAGGTACCCTTGGAGGCCAGAAGAGGGCGACAGAGGCCCTGGAGCTGAAGTTCCAGGCGGTTGCAGGTGCCAGGAACCAGACTCCAGCCCGAGAGTAATGCAAGCTCTTGCTGGCTGAGTCATCTCTCCAGCCCCCATTTCTCTGTATCTGGTGCATTGCCTTGTTTCCTTTCTCAGTTATGTTGATTATTTATGAGAGTGACGTACGCGTGCCCTGAGGTGCCTGTGGAAGCCAGAGGACACTTGGAGGACCGTGTGTGTCCCAGGGGTTTAGTGCAAGGCTTTCGGCCTGGCAGCAAGTGGCTTACCTGCTGGGCCATCAGTCTCTCCCAGGGATGGTTTTTTTTCCCTATTTTTTTTTACTGTGTTTTTTTGAGACAGGGTCTCTCTATGCAGCCCTGGTTATCTTTGAACTCCTTCTGTAGACCAGGCTGACCTCTAACTCACAGACATTCACCTGCCTCTGCCTCCTGAGTGCTGGGATTAAAAGCTTGTGCCACCAAGCCTGGCTCATCCACATTATTTAAGGAGAAATGTTTTGGTAAGAATTTGGCTTCACTGATCCCAATACCCTTTGCTCTTCCAGGGTTTTATCTGCTCATTGCCCTTTCTAATCTGCACATTCCTAACGAATCCCCTTATAGTCCCTCCACCATGTTAGACTGACAGAGTAGAAAGGTATACGTTTGGGGTATCAGACGAATCTGGGTTCTCACCTGGCTCTGTCATTTCCTAGCTGTGTGACCTTGGGCAAGTACCTTCCTCTCTCTGAGTTTTGTGCAAGTCCATATCAAATAGTCTCTATTGCCTGCCACAGGACCAGGCACTGTGCAGTAGGTGGTCACAGCCTCTGTCTTTGGGAACTTTTACTTTGGTGAGGGGACACACAGAGACATAACAAGCAAACAAATGATTTCAGAAGGGCTATGTTAATGAAAACAATGGACAAGGGACTGCGATTCACACTGCAGGAGAAGGGGGCTTCTTTTTTAATAAGGCGATCAGTGACATTTGAGCCAGGGTGTGGGGGTGCACACTTTCAATCCCAGGATGCAGAGGCAGAAGTGGGTGGATCCCTGTGAGTCTGAGGATAGCCTGGTCTACATGGTGAGTTCTAGGACAGCCAGAGCTACATAGAGAGACACTGTTTCAAAAAAACAGACAAAAATTGCCCTTCATTTTGAGTAATGGGTGGTAAGAGCCAGCTGTGAGGTAGGTGTAAGCCTCGGGTGCAGAATGAGTTCGGTGTGTAGTAGGAGCAGAGAGCAAGGGAGGGGGGAGAGGTGAAGTCAGGATGGCCGGGGCAGATCGCACAGCTCCGGTTGCCAAGAACTTCCCATCATTTGGCGCAGGGACCAGGCGGAGAGCTAGTGCAGGACTTGGCATCAGGCGCTCAGCACACAGTAACTGTATGTCTGGTAATCCTCGCTTCTCTCCTCCTCCTGCCGTGGACCCTCCTGCGCTCCCCTTACCTCTCTGCCCCTCTCCTCGCCCCTGTCCCTCCCTGGTGGCACGAAAGGGATGAATCCCCGCAGCAAGGAAGCCGCATCCCCCACTCTCTCCCCTCCCTCCCGTCCTCCTCCTAAGCCTCCCACCGCAGCCTAGTGATTTTCCTGCCTCTTCACAAGGCGATTTTATTAAACATCTCGAAAAAATATTCTCTCACTCCCTCTCTCTTTATTTATAAAAATCAACTTAACACCCTGCTCCTTTGTTCTATTTGGATTCTAGAACAGCCTGGTGTATATTTAGCCGAAATCCCGCTCCTTTCCCCACGGATTCCGGCTCAGCCCCGACTACAGGGGCTGCGGGAGGAGGAGGGGCAGGAGCTGGGAAGCGAAGTGGCACTCAGGGTCCTTCCCCTGCAGGCAGGGAGAGCGTCCTTCCCATGGTGTTAGCGATCCCAAGTCCAGGCTTGGCTACGTTCTCGGCCATCCTGACCCTCAATCCCATACAGATGCCCTCAAAGAAGAGAGAACTGGCAGAGAGCAGATGGGGTAGAAGACCTGAGCCCTAATCTGGAGCCAGCCGCAGTAAGTAAGGTGGGCCTGGGTTCAAGTCCAAACTCTCCTCACCCCCTTCCTGTCCGGATATTGAAGAGTGGCAGTTGGTGTCAACATGCTGATGACACTTGAGATGGCCAACCAGGGCTGTCCTAAGGATGGAAGCCGCGGCTTCTTTCTCCAGGCCCTGCCCACGTGAAGCCGCATCTGTCGGCCAGCAGCATCCACACCCTGACCAATTCACACGGGAATTCCAGAGACAATGAGAAGGGCCTCCCGGGACCTTAAGGTGAGCAGGAAATCTGGACGTGGACAAAGCTGAACTTGCTTTCATGGGTATACAAGGCATGTTCTCTTTCTCCACCAGAACCAAACATGCGCTTGGCACATAGGAACTCACGCACAATAGTGTCTACAGCTGTATGTGGGGGGTTGGGGAGGGGCAGCACAGTTACTTGGTGATTTTGCAAGGCCTGGCTCCATCACTAGTACAAAACAGGAGGGGGATGCAAGTAAGTTGGCCTGAGGCCTAAAACTGGGAGGGGGATGTGTTGTGAGGTCTGAAGGAGCAGGGAGTGGATGTCAACAAGACACATTATATATGTCTTAGGAAGTTGTCAAAGAATCTGTTAAAGCTTAATAAAAGCAAGCTTCACAAAAGATACGCAAATAGCCAATAATCACATGCAAAGATGCTCAAATGTCTTGGTGATGAAGTACAAATTAAAATCACAGTTTACAAATTGGAAAGTATAAGCAAATGGGTAAACTAACTATGGTATAGCCATACAGCTGAAGAGTGTTCAGTTATGAGAAGGAATCAAATGCTTGTATATGTCAGAATGTGGATGAGCCTCAAAAATGTTTTGTTTTTACCATGTGTAGTGACACGGGCCTGTAATTCAATTCCAGCACTGCGGACTGAGGCAGAAGAATCAGGAACTCAGAGTCAATCCTACCATATAATGAGAACCCTGTCTCAAGGGGGCAAAAAAATTAGGGTCTGAGAGACAGTTCAGCCGTTAAGAGCACAAGGTCCTGTAGAGGAGCTGAGTTCAGGTTCCAGCATCCATACCAGGTGGCTCACAACTGCCTTTAACTCCAGCCCAGGGTACCCAACATCTCTGGGCTCTACAGGCACCTGCATTCACGTGCACAAACACAGGTATACACACATATACAATTTAAAAAATAAGTTAAAAAAAGAAAAAGATTAGTATTAAGTATTCATTATATATATGACAAAGAATCTGTGGGAGTTAAGATCCCTTTTTACTTGAGCCGGGTGGTGGTGGTGCACGCCTTTATCCCAGCCCTTGGGAGGCAGAGGCAGGTGGATCTCAGTGAGTTCCAGTACAGTTAGGGCTAAACAGAAAAAGTCTCCATTAGTACCTGAGACAAGGAAAACAAACTCATAGCAGGCAATGTCTGCAAGATGGCTCCAACAGTAAAGGTGCTTGCCACACAATCGTGGCACCCTGAGAGGAGAGGACTGACTCACAAAATTGTTTGCTCCCCTCCCAATCCCCCTAAACTGTGGCATGTGCACACACACACAGTAATAATAGTTTTTATTTTATTGTGCATATGAGTGGTTGTCTGCATGTATGTATGCATATGCACCACATACACACCTGGTGTCATAGGAGGCCAGAAGAGGGTGCCACATCCCTTGGACTAGAGTCACAGATGGCTGTGTGCCACCATGTGGGTGCTAACAATCGAATCTGGGTCCTCTGAAAAAGCAGCCAGTGCTCTTACCCACTGAGCCATCTCTCCATCCCCATTACTCATTTTTTTAAATTACAAACTATTTGGCCTATTAGCTCAGGCTTATTATTAACTAGCTCTTACAACTTCAATTAACCCACTTCTATTAGTTTATGTTTTGCCATGAGACTTGTGGCTTCTTATCTCACATCTTGCTTCTCAGGTGGCTCTGACATCTCCCTCTACTCTGCCTTCTTTTTCCCTGTATCTTTGCTTGGATTGCCCACCTCATTCTATTCTGCCTGAGTATTAGCCAAAATAGCTTCTTTACTAACCAATAGTAATAAAACATATTCACAGCATACATAAGGGTACCCTACATAATCTCCCCTTTTTTGTCTAATTAAAAAGGAAGGTTTTAACTTTAACATAGTAAAATTCAAAGCAGGTGTCAAGCAAGAATTACAGTTGCAATATTTAGCCTATTTGTATTTGACAAAATTAAAGAAAATATTCTATTATCTATCGTATCTATCTTTGTCAGTCTAAAGTTTCATATCTAATTTATCTTTTATCAAAACTAAGGGAAACTATAACTATCTAGTCTTCAACTTTATCAAAGACCCCAGAAGGATAATATTACCTAAATAAACAGGAAGCACATTTTAAGCAATTTCAAATACTCTAGAAAGGACAGATATATCTGACTACCTGGACAGTCACCCAAAGTTTTTCTTTAACATTGGAGCATCTATCTTCAGCCTAAAGGCCTAGAATAGCTGGCAGGTTTCTCAGTGATGCAGGAAACTTGAAACCACCCAGCCTATATTGGCAGCTTGTCAGTCATTTTCTTCTGTGTCCCACAGAATGTCTGGCAGACTCTTCCATGAAGCAGGAAATTTGAAGGACTGTCCCACCTATTCTGGCAAAATTCATCAGACGCTTTCTTTTGCGCCCTGAAGAATATCTGGCAAGGGCTGGAGAGATGGCTCAGCGGTTAAGAGCATTGCCTGCTCTTCCAAAGGTCCTGAGTTCAATTCCCAGCAACCACATGGTGGCTCACAGCCATCTGTAATGAGGTCTGGTGCCCTCTTCTGGCCTTCAGGCATACACGGAGACAGAGTATTGTATACATAATAAATAAATAAATATTTAAAAAAAAAAGAATATCTGGCAAACACTTTCATGAAGCAAGAACCCTGAAGGACTGCCTCACCTTGTTTTGGAAAGTTTAGCAGTCATTTTCCTGTGGGTCCTGCGTGTTCAGTTTATGCAGCATATTGTCAAGCGGTCCAGGAAAGAGCAGTCTCTTGCCCAAATGGATAGTCTTGAAACATTTAAAACAAACTTTGTAAGGAGCCTCTTCGATTCCCATCATCCTCTTGAAGCTATTGGCACCAACAGGAACAGACACATCTCATTGATCAACCTGTATCAGCCTAGGAGGAATCCACAGCTTCTTATCCTATTTGTTGAGGCAGTCACATCTTGCTTCTTTTGTGGCTGGGTCAGGACTGCAGAGGAATGGGCTTTCCTCTTCCCAGAATTCTCCTGTTCTTGTCGACCTGCCTCTACTTCCTGTCTCTAGTCATTTTTTTTTAAGTAGGTGAAATGACTGAATAAGAGCACAAGAAAAGATCTCAAAACCTTGAGCTGGCAGGGAAGTGCAAGTTAAAACAAGATAAGACAGCCCTGCTCTCGCCAGAATGTATTTCTCAGATGAACAAAACTTCTAAACACTCAGTTTTATGATTTTTTGGAAAAGAGAGCGAGCTCAGGCCAGAAGCTGAAGATCAGCCTGCTTTGAGATGGGATCTTGCTGTTTTGCTCAGGTTGGTCTAGACTCCAGCAATCAAGCAATCTTCCTGTTTCAGCCTCTCAGCGAGCAGGGACTACAGGCAGACACCAGTTGTATTTGGGTCCTCAGTTTTTTGAAGTAGGTCTTGGATGGGTCCTGCCTTTCTGACCCCAGTGTCAGCCCCTACTCGCTGAGCAGGGCTTGCCTACGTAAACAGTGGAAATGACAGTCTGTAGGTTTTTAGATAAGCCCATTAGACACACAAGATCTTGCTTTTGGGTGGGTTTTTCTGCAGAAGCCAGCTCCAGGTCCTAAGGACACATGCACAGCCCTGGGGAAAGCCACCAGCCTCCAGGGCAGCCGGTGTCACCCAGTCAAGACTTAAGAACACAGGCTGTCAGCTGGGCGGTGGTGGCACATGCCTTTAGTCCCAGCACTTAGGAGGTAGGGGCTGGTGGAGCTCTGAGTTTGAGGTCAGTCTGGTCTACAAAGCAAATTCCTGGACAACCGGGGCTACACAGAGAAACAAAAGCAAATAAATAAAGGCTGGCCGAACAATAAGTAGAAACTATGCAAGAGTTCTTGCTCAGGCCAGACTCAGTACCAAAGTTAGACCCAACTGCTAGGGAGGCTGAAGCAGGAGGATCCATTGTGCTGAGGAGTTCAGGGTTAGCCAGGGCAGCATAGCAAGACCATGTCTCATAAATAAGGAGCTGCTGCTGCTGCTAGAAGCCATTACACTGTGGGTAGTTTGTTCTAAATCACAGAGCACTTACCACGTGATTTCTGTCTGCTGCCTGTTTGCCTGTCTAAAACCACTTTCTCCAAGTATGGTGGCACACACCTGCACTCAGCATCGGTGGAAGCAGGTGGTAGAAGCAGGTGGCTCTCTGGTGGCTCTCTGACAGTGCCAGGGCAGCCCGGGCTTCACAGCGAGACCTTGTTTCAAAACAAATAAATAGGAGCTGGAGGAGTGGCTCAGCTCAACTGCTAAGAGCGTGCACGGCTCTTCCAGGGGACCTGAGTTCAGCACCCGTGTCAGCTGACTCACAACCAGCTATACCTCCAGCAGGATCCATTGCCTTCGGCTTCACATGCACATCGCCTACAGACATGCACAGAGACTGTCAGGATGGCTCAGTGGAGAAAGGAGCTTGGCACCAAGCCCGATGACTAGAGTTTAAAACCCGGGACACTCGTGTGGTGGGAGGGGAGAGCTCGCTCCTGAAGATTGTCCTCAGTCCTTCACACAAGCCCCGTGTCACGTGCACACCAATGCACAGAGGAAGGGGATCTCTGAGTTCCAGGCTAGTCACAGTTACTAGTGAGACTTTGTCTCAGAATAAATAGGAGCTGGCCACACAGCTTTGAGAGAAGGGAGAAGGCTAGATATGGTGGCACATGCCTTTAATCCCAGCACTTGGGAGGCAGAGGCAGGCAGAGATCTCAGTGAGTTCAAGGCCAACCTGGTCTACAAAGCGAGTTCCAGGACAGTCAGAGCTGAGGCAGAGGCAGGGGAATCTGTGAGTTTGAGGTCAACCTAGTCTACAAAATAAATTCTGAATTAGTCAGTGTTAAATAGTGAGACGTTGTCTCGGAGATGAGAGGGAAAAAAAGACCCTTGAGAGGGAGTGGAAGAAGATAAAACGGAAAAAAAAAATCCCCTGCTTTAGACAGGGAAGCGGATATTTAAGAGAAACAAGGAGAAAACAGCTAACTGGACACCAAGGGCAAGTTCCTGTGCTCTACCGGTCCAGGGCACTAGCGTGAAAGTGTGACCTGTTGGGACCGAGGACATCCGCCTGTTCTTCCTCCTTGACTGTTAACAGTGGCCACAGTAATACAAGACCTACTCCAGCAGATGCTGATGTTCATCAGCCGGGCCGGAGTCAAAGCTGGTGAAGTTCTGTGCTGCCGGGATGAGCGCAGCCCCGGGACACCCAGGAAGCAGCCCCGGCCTCCGTGAGAGACTCGAGTTATTTTTGAAAAGCAAGCGAGGCCTGCAGGCGGCCCTGGCAGAGCTCGGAGCTGGAAGATGGGCGAGCCAGGAGCAGAGGGAAACAGACAGCTACTGCAGAACCCACGCCGGTCCCTATGACGTCACCCCACGCATTGTGACATAAGACAGTAGCGGTGGCGGCAGGGGATGGGGGAGGCATCCTTGCACCCTCTTGGGTGCACTTTTATAAATTGTGGTAAGATATTCATAACCTAAAATTCATCCTTGGTAATTTTTAACAACTCCCCCCCCCAACCCCGAAGGGGGTACTGAGTGACATTGAAGACTGAGTTCTTGCTGGAACAGGGAATGTGGATGCCAGCCAAAAGTATTGGTTCACCAAATGGTGCAGAGGAGGTTTTGCTCTATTGGGGAAGAATTCTGGAATTGGAGGGCAGGTCATTACTCTGGGGCAAAGCTGGGGCCAGGGATCAGGGTAGAGTTGAGGGCTCACGAAGGGAAACTGGGTGGGAAAGGGAGGGGGCAGGAGGGCAGGTGCTCAGACTGGGAGCTGACAGCTGCAGGGGGCAGAAAGCGGCAGAGCTGCTTAATGAAGCGTGCACTGTAAGGGAGAGGTGTTTGCAACTGGGCAGGGGGGTCATGGGCAGCTGGAGGAGGGAGCCATCAAGTCCCCAAAATAACTCACCGCTTCTGCGGGAGACGCTGGGACGAATCAAGGTGGAAATAATCCAGAAACCCAGCGGAGACTGCCAGGAGCATTGGAAGCCGAGGACAATTAGTTAAAGATGTATTTGCCCCCGCGAGAGGTTGGTGGTCCCAGAAAACTGTGCCGAGCTAACAGGGAGATAGGAGATCTTCCTAGGGTTCCATCAGAAGGGCCCCAGTGGCTGGCGCGCATTCTTACTGTGTTACCCTGCGCTGTAGCATATGGTTAAGCGTATGGGCTTGGGAACCAGGCTGCTGAGATGTGAATCTTCTCCCTCGCCCCTCCCGCTTTGGTTTTCTGAGACAGGGTTTCTCTGTGTGGCCCTGGCTGTCCTGGAGCTCACTCTGTAGACCGGGCTGGCCTCGAATTCAGAGATCTAAACTGAGAGACTAAAGGTGTGCACCTCTGGCTATGGGTTCCTCACTCCGAGCCTCTGTTTTCTCACCTGGAAAATGGGAAGTAGTGTTTTTGTTTTTGTTTTGTTTTGTTTTTATTATGAATCGACCAGTAGTTCTGGGGCAAAAGGAGTTACCTTTCTGTCTCCTTCTCTATCAGGGGAATGGACAAAGGCCTGCAGAGATGATATAGAGATGTAAGTCTTGGGGCTGGAGAGATGGCTCAGTGGTTAAGAGCATTACCTGCTCTTCCAAAGGTCCTGAGTTCAATTCCCAGCAACCACATGGTGGCTCACAACCATCTGTAATGAGGTCTGGTGCCCTCTTCTGGCCTGCAGACATACACACAGACAGAATATTGTATACAAAATAAAAAATAAATATATATATTTTTAAAAATGTAAGTCTTGGGGCTGGAGAGATGGCTCAGAGGTTAAGACACTGGCTATTCTTCTAGAGGTCCTGAATTCAATTCCCAGCAATCATATGGTGGCTCACAGCCATCTGTAATAAGATCTGGTGCCCTCTGTATACATAATTAATAAATAAATCTTCAAAAAAAAAAGGAAATATAAGTCTTAGGTTTCCAGTTCAGTTAGATGTTCAACATGTAGTGGTACTTGCTGTATAACCTGAGTTTGATCTCATAACCTTTAGTGGGAGGAGAGCAGAGAACCAGAAGTTGTCCTCTGCCCTGCTACTTGCATGCTGTGGTGAGCAGCAACCCCCAATTAGAACGAGAGGTGGCTGGGGAGGTGGCTCAGTGGTTAAGAGCACTTGCTGTTCTTGTAAAGGATCCATGTTTGGTTTCCGGTGCCCACCTTAAGAGCTCACAACTCCAGAGTACCAGCTCTGGGAGGTACAACGCCCTCTGCTGGCCTCTGTGGCACCTGCACACATAGGGTGCACATAACACACATAGGGTGCACATAAACTCAGGTAGGCACATAAAAGTATACATAAAGAAACATAATAAATACATGCTTAAAAGAGGTTTAGATTTTGATACAGCCTAGCTGCCTTGGCCCCTCCCCCACAGCCGCTGTCTAGGCCCTGCAGAAGGCAGATCCAATAAGGACATTGGAAATGGCCTC